TGAGAGACTTAAATTAGTTGTTCATGAACACTTTGTTCAAAGTAACGATTTATTTACAAATATATTTTTCAGTCTCGGAGGATTTACTGCTTTGGTATCGGCAGCTGCTTTGAAGGATCAAGTCAAGGGAGTAGTATTGCTACATTCTGTTGGACAATTTGGGGATGCCAGTGGTGGAACCAATGATTCTGAAGAAACAGCCTTGCAGATATTCATGGTAAAGGCACTGAAGGAAATTTTTCAGCGTGTAGTTCTTGGATTTTTGTTTTGGCAAGCCAAGAAACGAGCACGCATTGAATCTGTCTTGGATTTGTTCATTTACTGTGTTTGAGTCAGCATCAACGGATATTGGCATCCTTTCATTTCTTTGTTTCAAGCTAAATATTCAGCAGTAAGCTCAAGTAACCTTTTTTTTTGCTTCAGGTTTTCCTCATATGGTGCTGCTACCCTTGTAAATTGTAGGTATCAAAACTGTTGCCTTGAGAGGAAATGTAAGAACAAGTCAGACCCTGTTGCGGATGATAAAGAGTTTTAGACAACATTGCATCAGTTGAGTGTTGATTTTCAAATGCACTGCCTCTGTAAATGCAGAGGGTAAATATGCCTTATTTTCATTTTCTATTGCATGTATGGTGCTTTGTAAATATGCTGGCTGTAACTTTGGCATTTTGAAAGGCTCGAGATGCTACCTTGTTTCATCAATTGACAACGAGCTGTATGCTTAGTAGTTAAGTTTGTCATTCATAGGGGTCAAGGTTGAGTTCGAATTGAGAAACTAGTCTTCTAACCAATGTTTGGTGGTAGTTTGCATATGGCTGTTCAGGTGGTTAGTTTTTGATATAACCAATGTTATCCCACCCAAGGTAACGAAAGTTAAAACCAGCAGCTGGTTAATTCTATGCACCTAATGAATGGGCTTTCTTTTCCCCAAGCCTTGTACTAGGGGATGGAAATTTATAGTACTCTCGTGGTATTTAATTTACAATGAGGTGATGTTTGGAATAAAAGGTATGGATCATAGTTGTTTCTATTATATTTTGTTCTTTGGGTGCATTAAACACAATACACCCACAAACACATGGTGTCACGTGCTTTTACATACTCCATGTTGTGTAGTGAATTTCTGTTGATTAATTTGAATTTCAGGCCTTTGCGGCCGAGGATGACAATGATGATGACGTGGATTTGTTTGGTGAGGAGACTAAGGAAGAAAAGAAGGCTGCTGAAGAATGTGCTGCAGCCGTGAAAGCATCTGGAAATAAGAAATAGAGTAATTTGTGTGTTCCGTTTATGATCGAGTTTTTCTCTTACCATTTTATTTCATTTTGAAGCTTCTTTTTATTTAAGTGGTGGTGTATCTCATTCTAATGTTCAAGTGTATGGATTAAAAAATTTGTAATGAAATTATCAATTTTTATGTAATTCCAAAATTTGTTCATAAATTGCATTTTCAATTTTGCAAATCTACTTGCATAAATTGTTGTTGAAAAAAAAAAACCCTACGACAACGTTTGCCAAACGTTGCAAAAAACAGTCTTTAGCAATGTTTGCCAAATGTTGCCGTAAATAGATACGGCAATGTTTGACAAATGTTGTCGTAGGCTATCTTTCGCAACATTTACCAAACGTTGCCGTATCACTAAGGCAACGTTTCATAAACGTTGCTGAAGACTTTCGGCAACGTTCAATAAACGTTGTCGTATCTTTCTACTCTACGACAACACCTCGATTTGCAACACACGTCCAAACGTTGCTGTAGGCCTATGGCAACATTTTTTGAACGTTGCCGTATGCTGTTTTTGTTGTAGTGAACCATCGAGCCATATAGCTCGACATTTCTATGTAAAATAACATTTTTTTTCTGAATAAAAAAAATTAAACAGAAATTAATTTCTTCATCTTGCAAAAAAAAAAAAAAATGCACATATGGGTATACAAACAAACAACTAATAAATTTAGGAACCCAATAACAAATACCAATTATAAACTTGCATGTACTAATACATATGCTCACCCAAAATAAAAGTAAAAAAAACCAAACAAAAATTAAGTTACCCAAAATAAGTTTTCCCAACATTAAACAACAAAAAATATTCTCTTCATTTTATACAATAAAATGCACAAATGAGTATACAAACCAAAAAAAACCCTTAAATTTAGAGGAACCCAACAACATTGAATAGGAAAAATAGTACTTGAGATAATAACTCATTTTTATTGCAGACAACCAAGATAACTCACAACAACGACTTAAGGAATGGTATGCGACGACGGCAGCTTCACGATGGAAAAGAAATTTCAGTGGCCGGTGATTTTTAGAGAGATGTAGATAAATTGGGCTTTCAAGAGATTCCCTGATAAGTGAGAAGGATGCGAAACTTTTTTCGACTAAAATTTGAGTGATGTGAGGAGATAGAAACTTTTCTGTGTTTTGTCATGCTTGTGTATTTTAGAGGTGTACATATAGCTTAAAGAGTTGTCAATTCACTTTTCAAATGTCAAAACAAAATTATAATTTTGTAAAGTCTTTAAAGATAATTTTGTCGATTTTTTTGAAAAAATGTCATTTTTGCAAGTGTTACCAAAATTGGATAGATTTCAAAATACATAGTGAAAAGTGAACATTTTATACAATATTGTAAACATTAAGGTCTTAGGTTTTAAAGCAGAGAAACCATTTAATGTTTCACTCTATGATTTTATAGAATAAAGTCAGTAAAATATGTTAGAGATGTATTTTTGAGAAGCTTAATATACATATTTATTAATAATATAGATTATAAATTAACTTTCACAACACTATTATAGAACAAAACGGACATTTGTCTACTATATACATCACAAGAAAATTACGGTTACCATGGAGATATCCAGTGCAATTTGCAAGTTTCCCATTTGAAGGAGTTCACAGATTTCTTCAGTCTTTCAAGTGCCAACTAGCAATTGATTCATTAGGGCGAGAAACGTACCATGAATTGTACCGAATGCTACCTGGAAAACTGTAAAACAGACAAACCACAGTAACAACATTAATCCATAGAACAATGTAAAACTAGAAACGAGAAGGTTGATAGGAGAGAGAGAGAGAGAGAGATTATATTGATCAGTTTATGTTAACTTATTCTGTACTAAATCAGGTAACCACAGGAGGTACCCCCAAACACTTCAGTGGATATTGTTCTAAAAAATGAGTACTCAATGAAGTGGTCAATGGAACTCTAGGGGAACCCAGATGTTCTTAGCTAGTAATCCTGGTATTTGCTTACTTATTTCTACACTTACAGGAATGCATACAATGATAGAGAGGGTCGATTGAGTCCTAAATATCCTTGTACTGCCTCATTTTGTTAAACTTAAAGAAGTGTTCTAACATATATAACCCAAGAAAAGCAGGAAAGCTGATGAACCTAGCTGCAACTGTAGGTTAAATAAAGAATACAGAATCAGAATCCAGGCCACCTATTTTCCAACTTGGTTCTCTACTTATACCCCTCATTTGAGCAAGAAAAGGTATGCGATTTCTCTGCTATATTCTGATCTTGTACACAACCAAAAGTAAAGATGAAAAGTGATAGGCCAAAAAACGAAGATTTTATTCTCTTTTCATCATTTAGTCTACATTCATGTCCAGGTTCAGTTACTCAAATGTATTCCTCGGATGAAATTGAGTGGTCATACTTTTGAGTTCTTCTTCACAAGATCATTACTCGAATTCAGCTTACTATAAATAGGTAATATATCATGGCCAATTTAGCAAACGAAGAGTGAAAAACCGTCAGGTTTGATCTGGAGTTTCCTCAATACACTTCAGAATCCCTTTTTTCCTTAGGGACCGATAGCCACACTGAAGTGTTTGGGGGAACTCTAGGTTTCACCTGACATTAGCTAGTGATTATATGTCTATTAATTGTATAGAACTGCATTAGGTTTTATTTGGAGTTCCCTCAAATCACTCGGATTCTACAAGAGCCCCCGATAGTGTTTGGGGGAACTCTAAGCACCACCTAATATAAAGAATTATCTATATAATTAATTCCTATAACCATGATAAAATTTCTCTCAATGTACTCAAGAAGGAAGTTAAGTTCTTTTCACATCCCTTATTGAAAGACTAGAAGTTCTATTTCTTCTATGTTTGTCCAAGAAAGTTTTCCTCACATAATGCAGAATGCAAAGAGTGAATTTGCACTGATTCAAGTTGGATGGAATCTTGCTAGTCCAATGGAATACACTTGGTTAATAATAACAAAACCATAGTAAATTCTTGTAGCGTTGTCGAACGTGTCATATTGCTAAAGGCAAGGTTACAAATGTTGGTTTGTATAAGCTCCTGCCTATTTCGACCCAACTTTGGACAGACGTCAGCATGGATTTAGTCTTGGGGCTTTCTAAGACTCAGCGCGGATTTGATTCTATTTTTGTGGTGTTTGATTGTTTTTCCAAGATGGTCAATTTCATTCCCTACAAGAAGACTACGATTGTTGTCAGTGTGGCATTACTATATTTCCGTGAGGTCTATCTTCTACATGGACTTCTTGTTTCTATTGTGTTTAATCGGGATACTCATTTTCCTGGTCACTTTTGGCCCAGTTTATGGCATTTGGTCAATACACAGTTGGACTTTAGCAGTGCGTATCATCCTCAAACAAATTGTCAGACATAAGTTGTCAACCATTCCTTGGGTGATTTGCTTCGTTATTTAGCTGGTAATTTCATCAAGTCTTGGGAAAAAAAAATTTGTGTCAAGCAGAATTTGCTCACAACCATCCAGTTAATCGAAGTACAAGCTTTAGTCCTTTTCAGGTGGTGTATGGTCTTGTTCCTCGTAGCCCTCTTGATGCGGATCTCAAACGTCGACATGTCGAGTTTGAGGTAGGTGACTTTGTTGGGCGGTGTTAATAAAGGACCATATTCCTGCTCATGAATAGACCAAGCTTGCATCCCAACGCATATCATTTGAAGCTGCCCTGTCATATTCGAACATTCGACGATTTTAATTGTGCCATTTAGTGGGGACAATTCTGATGATGACGTTGCTTTTCCTCCGAATTCCGGTGCGAATTTTTCTTAACCAGGGGAGAATAATGTGGTACAGAAGGAATTAGACTTTATGGCAAAGTGAGACCGGCAAAAATAAAAATAGACAACTTCCCGATTTTTGGAAAAATTTTGGACTTTTCCGTTTGTGCTAGATTTTAGTCAAATTTATATGGAAATGGGCCAATAAACAAGACTTAGGGGCTTTCTCCCTAATGCAGGGCCAATTTCGGGCAAATTCCTTCGTTTATGTGTTTTTTCTTTTTTTTTTGGTAATTTTTTTTGGGTATATCT